GTACGACTTCTTGAAAACCTTCACACGGGTACTTTGGCATGGATCGTCTCCTTCTTCTCGGCCTAAAAGTCGAAAGCTCCCGCTCAAGCAATTGATAACAACATCCACCGTCGATGGCGAAACCATTGACTTTCCCGCGTTGTCTGTCGTACGACATCTACTTTCTATCTCAACCAACCACTAAGAAAGGATAACACATCTAAATCATTGCATGTCATACAACTCGTTCCAACAACGTTCCTCTCAAGCCACTTATTCAACCCAAGAAGAAGCTTCCGCATTCCATTCCGTCATCGCTTCCCAGGACCAAACTCTTCAATCAGTCGGCTGCTCCATTCCAACCCAGCCTGGTAACTTTCTGCTATCTCTGGAGTCGCTCGCTTCTGACGCCAGCTTCCATCACTCATCCGCTCGTTCCACCACTCCCTGCAAGATGACAAGTCACTTGTCGGATGATGGAGGGATTTGGGATGGTGTAGGAGGTAGGTGGGCCTGCGGCCCAACTCGATGACTCTCTTCTGAGCAATCTGGCATCATCTGTGGCCTGTGCTTTTTCTATTTCATCTGGATCGGCCCTGGGCAGCAACTCACCAGCAACGGGTCATATGGTTGGCCTCAACTTCTTCCGTCCCAGGCCTCATCTCCAAGGTACTACGATCCCAACAACCCGTCGACATTTGCTGCATTCCTCGGCTTATCTAGGACACCCCTTTTCAGTTGATTCTCTACATCTACGGTTGGACTGTTTTTTGTTCCATCCACATTTTCAGTTATCAGCATCTACGGCGGAAGCATCTCAAGCATCAGGATCTAAGGTTCTATCGGAGGGTCCATTGAGACTCACCCAGCAGGAAGCAGTCCCTCGGCGGTCTGACCTCCGCTGGTTCCAGGTGCCGCAAGAGAATATGTAATTGGAGAAGGACCGGTCGCGGCAGGCTGACTCAACTCGCGCTGTGCACTCTCCGGATTTCTTCCGCCCGCTGCCGCGCCCATAGTGTACGCAAACCTGCACGTCACATCCAGCCAGTCAGCCAGACGCTCAGAGGACAGGTCGTTCACGTCGCCTGTTTTGGTGAAGTGGCCCCGTGCACCCAGGATTTTCCCGCGGAGGGATTCGGGATGTTCTAGGAGGTGTGTGGGCCTGCGGCCCAACTCTATGACTCTCTTCTGAGCAATCTGGCATCATCTGTGGTCTGTGCTTTTTCTATTTAATCTGGATCGGCCCTGGGCAGCGAAGTTCCAGTGTTGTAAGTGAGGCCCAAGTATGGACCTCGCCACACCACTCTTGAAAACTCATTTTCAAGAGTTGCTGCCTGGTCACATAGCCTCTTGAGACTTGGGGCAGTCAGGAGCAGTCAGACTGGCTCTTGAAACCCCTTTTTTTTTTTTTTGAAACCCCTTTTCAAGAGCAGCTCTTGAAAGACTGTAAAGCCCAGTCTGTCTGCAACTCGTGCGGTTTTTTTTTTTTTTTCTTTTCTTTTCACTCGTGCGTTTTCAAGGGTCCCTGGGTAAGGTCCCACTAGCAAATAGGAAAGGACTGAAGATCTGAATCTGGATGTGTTTGTGGAAAGGTGCAGATTGTAGAGATTGAACTGATTTTCTGCATGTCTGCTTAAAACACGTTCAGATTCAGGATATTTGTCCAATCCCCTTTGCTAGTGGGACCTTGCTCCTTGGCTCTAAGTTGGAATCCCGTCTCCCTTTTTTTTTTTTTTTTTTTTTTTTGCCTCCCAAATTTCAGAAAATGAGTTTTCAAGAGTGGTGTGGCGAGGCCCTAAGTTGGAATCCGGGGCCAAATCCCATCAGCTGCGTTGAGTTCCTCAACGCCTGAATCTGAACGTGGTTTCTGGAGATGTGCAGAAATCGGGTTGAGTTTGCTCAACCCGCACATAGCCACAAACACGTCCAGATCAGGCGTTGCGGAAACTCAACGCTGCTTGTGGGACTTGGCCCGTGGCCTCCCAATTTTGAGAAAATGTAGGCTGCCTGCCCTGCCAGCCCCAGCCTTCGACAGCGTACTAATTTTGCTATTGGCACCTTTTTCTTTTTTCTTTTTCCTTTTTCGCCCTTTTTTCCTTTCATTGGGCCATTTCTCTCTGTCTTTTTTTTTTTTTTTTTTTTTTTTTGGGCCATTTCATTCCATGATAGCGTGGGAGCTCCCCACCCCAAAATTGTTCGCAATACTCTGCACACAGGTGCCTTTTTCATTTTGTCTTTTTATTCAACAAAGGAAAAGGCATAAAAAAAACAAAAAAACAAAACCAGAAAAAAATTCGATTCTGACTTGTTAGCCACTGGCTGCCTGAATGAATGCTCACAGCCAAACACGTCCCGACTGGATGTCCCGATGTTCGAGTCGGGAGCCCGACTCTCTGTCCATAATCATCATGATGAACAATGACCTCGTTGTCTGCGAGGCTCGTGCGCGGGCGCGCGGGAGAACGCGTAGTCAGGACGACCAGGACTTCTCCGAACGAGTTCTTAGACGTAATTCAGGTCAGATGCATCCCCATACTGCCTAAAAACCGGTCAGATGCAGATAATTTAGCGATTTGTTTTTGCTACGGCGTGCTCTGGGTACCCTCTCACAGGCTTGTCCCCGCCCCCGCTCTTTTCCTTCCTCTTTTTTTTTTCCCTTTTTTTTTCCTTTTTTTTTTCTCTTTCCTTTTTCCGCAACAGAAAAAGGAGGGAGGAAGACAGGTGCTGGTCGCCGTCCCCGCCACCGTGCGGAGGGGGAGGCCCTATTTGTGCTATGTTTGTTGCGCTGCTTTGAGCGCATGAACCTGGTCTTTAACAAGGCCAGGTTCGTGCCTGCATAGCACGAACATAGCACCCTCCTTACCGCCAAACCCTTTCCGCTCTGGCAAGGAGCCCGCGACAGTCCTGGGGCGAGCTCGCGCTCACGCGGGGGCCAGGTCCCACCAGCACCGTTGAGTTTCCTCAACGCCTGAATCTGGTCGTGTATGTGGATATGTGCAGAAATCGCGTTGAGTTTTCTCAACCGCACATCTCCACGAACGCGTCCAGATTCAGGCGTCGAGGAAACTCAGCGCTGCTGCCGTAGTGGGACCTGGCCCCCGGCGGATCCCTCGTCGCAGGCCGTCGATCTCGATATTCTGCGGTCCTCAGAGAGTAGAGATAATACAGAGCGCGGGCGAGAGAGAGAGAGAGAGAGAGAGAGGCACCTTCCTTCCTTAGCCCGCGCACTGTCGCAAGGGTTTAGCATGAAACTCCGACGAGAGACCTTGCAGGACAATAGTGTGTCCCGGCCGTACACCAAGGAGCCCATAGCAGGAAGCCGGAAAGCGCGTGTTTGAATGCGTAGAGGGCATGTGTGTGTTTGTGAGAGAGAGAGAGAGAGGGAGGGTGTGACTATTCGCCCGACAGGTTCGCGGGACAAGCCTTGCTGCCGATTGCGTGGGGTGAGCTTGTCCGTGGGAGAGAGTGGGAGAGTGGGAGAGTGAGGGAGAGAGCGGGAGAGTGAGGGAGAATGGGAGGGAATGGGAGAGAGGGAAGATGCAGATGAGAAAATAGCGTAATCCTCTCGATTGTCTAAACAATCTGCGGAGATCGATCGGCATCTCGGCTCCTCAGTTTACGCGGGTTCGTCGGTACTCTGGCTGTGTAGATCGCCTGAGACGAGTGTGGAAGGAGGGAGGGGAGGCTAGGGGAGGGGAGGGGAGGGAGTGGAGGGAGGGAGGGAAAAGGGGGGAGGGAGCGGAATCGTCTGTGCAGTCCTGTTGCTGTCGGCGCCGCAGCAGGTTGACATTCAAAGCCGCCCCCGGCAGTTGATAGGAAGAGAGAGAGAGAGAGAGAGAGAGAGAGAGAGAGAGAGAGAGAGAGAGAGAAGGCGGGAGAGTGCTCAAGTTGCAGCTCTCGCTTTTTTTTTCTTGTGCTTCTCCCCGGATTTGTTGAAGGAGAAACACGCAGAGTACTGACATCGAACAGGTTCGGTCGGATTTAAAACCCTGCGCAGAGAAGGAACGCACCTGCACTGTCAATTACGTTAGCGATAGCGATGGTCGTGGCCGTGGTGTGACTGCTGTGTGTGTGTGTACTGGCGACACCTACCCGTGCGCAACGACGCTGGGCTTATTCGGTGACTACTGCACATGCCAGTACATGATGCCGGGAGGTGTATTCGCTGGTCATAGGACCGATTCCAGAGAGATGATCTGTTCCTTCCGACTTGCACGAGCGCGGAAGAGCATGGGCGGAAAACCCATCTCTTGCCAGACGCGGTCGAACTGAGTGTCTTACCATAGCAGTGTGTGTGTGTGTGTTTGTGTGTGTCACACACACAGAGACACAGAGAGAGAGAGAGAGAGAGAGAGAGAGAGAGAGAGAGAGAGAGAGAGAGAGAGAGAGAGAGAGAGAGATTTGTGGAAAGGATAGGGGGAAGAGGTGATGGAGTAGCATTGCGCTCTAGATGATGATGTCAGGGATCGGCATGGGGGTGGAATGTGGTTGGGAGCAGGATTTATGAGCAGTGAATGTGGAAGAGAGCAGGTGGAGGAAGGTGATAATTTTTCTGGAAAAAATCGAAGAGGGTGTAATTACAGTATAGTATGGTTGGATGACCCTTTTCAGTGGGCGATCGATCGGCAGAGACAGTGGCGGGTACAATTGAAGATCGGCATCATCTCTCTTCGTGGCCGTCGATTACGTCCGAATCTGCAACGCCTGAAACTTAGCCTTTCGCGTTTGTATAGTCGGTGTTGTAGTGCGTGGGTGTGGCAGGCTCTGTGGCCTGCGATTGTCAGAAGAGAGGACCCATAAAGGAAGGACGTGCGTAAGGGACAGCAGCAGAGGCATTGGTCAGTGTTGTGTCGATCGTCTGTGTCAATGTGGCCTGCTGGCTGAGCTATCGATCGAGCGTGCGTTCTTTTGTGTGTGTGTGTTGGAGAGAGAGAGAGAGAGAGAGAGAGGGAGAGAGAGAGAGAGCTATTGAGTCGAGTGACGCTTGGCGGATTGCTGGACGGTAAGGTGTACGCAGGCTCGCTAGTGATCGATCGATCGATCGGTCAAGTGAGCGGGCGATCGCGAGAGAGAGAGAGAGAGAGAGAGAGAGAGAGAGAGAGAGAGAGAGAGAGGTGATGCTGATGCCTAGCCGTAAGAGGCCGGCGGGTGTACGGCCCAGTACCCCAACAGCGGAAACGGACGGCGCCCGAGTACCTCATAGAGGGGGAGGGATGTCAATGATGAACGGGAAGAAGGCTCGATGCGACGGGGGTGGAGGGGGTGGAGGTGAGGGGGGGGGTGGCATTTTGACCGCTGTTGGCCTTCCCCGCCGCTCTGAGCTGGTTAGTATTGACGATCGGATGGACACGCTTCGCCGCGGCGGTGATTTTGAATCTGCCGCCGTCGAGACGTTAGCACGCGACCGGAAGAGGGTGAGGATCGTCTCGTCGTTGGCGGTACCTTCTGGTCAACGGATCGAAGAAGAAGGAGAAGACGAAGAAAGAGAGGAAGGGGAGGAAGAGGAGGAAGAGGAGGAAGAGGAACCAGAAGAGAGAGGAGGCATCGGGGTGCTGCTTCGTGATCTTGGCCGCGAGAATTGCTGCCTCTGTAAAATTTATCATACTTGTCATCACGCAGACGTTTTTTTTGAGTGTTGTGCTGCAAAGGAGCGGTCCGTGGTGATGGCGGCAAAGAATCGGAGGAAAGAGGAGGGAGCGAAAGACGAAGAGGGTACGGGCGTAGTCGATGGGAGCGGTGGGAGGAGGAGGAGGAGGAAGTGTGCAACGACGGGTATGATGGCGTTGACATCGTCGGTGGGATGTAATGCCGCCTCTGATCCTCGCGGTGGTGCTCATCCTCATTTTGCCCCGCCTGCTGCGGGGAGGGAGGAGGGGGGGGTGAAGGGATTGCGCGCGTACGTGGGGACGCTGGAGATGAAAGTGGAGACCCTAGAGAGAGAACTAAGGGACTTCAAAGAGCTTTTCGTTCTTCAAACGGATCAGTTCAAACGAGTTGCAGAGGCGGCGGTGAGGATCGGAAGACGAGGGTGTTATAGAGGAGGAGGAGAAGAAGGGGGAGGAGGAGGAGAAAGAGGGGGAGGGGGAGGAGAAAGCGGGGGAGGGGGAACTGGAGTGGCAGGGGTTATAAAGCAACGAGGAAGAAGCGGAGGAATAGGACGGCATTGCGAAGAGGAGGAGGAGGAAGAGGAAGAGGAGGAAGAGGAGGAAGAGGAGGAAGAGGAGGAAAACCAAGACGGAGACGCTGTCGACCGATGTCTGACGAATGGAAGAGTCAGAACTCCGGATGTGTTGATAGGTGATGATGATTGCAGCAGTGACGATCATGATGATGGGATCTTGGGGTGTATGGAGAATGGGGAGAGGGAGGAGAAAGGGTGTATGGAGAATGGGGAGAGGGAGGAAAAAGGGTGTATGGAGAATGGGGAGAGGGAGGAGAAAGATGATGACACTGAGGATGATATCGCAGAGGAAAGCGATTATGACGACGATGGAGAAGACGGTAAAGAGAATGGTGGCGGCGCTGCCGAGGTGGCAGTCGGGAGGACCGTGGTCGGGATCGACAATGCAATGACCGAGCGACACGTGGCACATGGTCAGCTTTGCCTCGGCGGGATCTTGACCATGAGTCCAATCAACGTTGGTCAAACCAAAGAGCAATCTGCCGCCGCAGCAATCTTGGGCGTGGCTGCACCCATCAAGCCGGTGGCTGGTTGCATCGTGCGGCAGTTACGCAATCGAACGATTTACGCGCCGCCACCTGGCAGCCTGCCAGGTGGTCTGACGTCGTCGACGGCTGCCGACGATCCCGATCGCGGTCGAACCTCCGATAAACATCATCGCCGGTCGAATGTGCTCGTTCCTCCTTCATCCTCCTCTGCCCGAAATCATCATCATCATAATCGGCATCATCGTCATCACCATGACCACAGCAGCGGAACGACCGGCGCGGGGTTGGCACCGGGGAGGAGTGCGGGTGGTCCCGCCGCTGCTGATGCTGCGGCTTGCGCCGGCGTCGCTGCGATTGCGAAGGCTAGGATGACGACAACAACAACAAATGGGAGGGAGGTGACGCCGGGGGAGATCGCTGTGGAGGATAGAGGCTGTGGCGGAGCCGTAGATCTCGCTTGTCAGGAGGATTCAACGTTCGATCGCGCGCCGATGGTAGCGCGACGGCCGTGCCCCTCCCCCTCCGCCTCCGACTCCGACTCCGACTCCGCCTACGACTCCGCTTCCGACTCCGCCTCTGCCGACGCCCACGCCGCCCACGCCGCTTCTGCTGCTGCTGATGATGACCGGGCAGGGGGTGCTCATCATAACAATCTTGCTAGTGCTAATCATACCCGTTCCACGTGGCATTACGCCGATGAGGCCTGCAGCCCTTTCACACTGGGAAAGGAACCCGTTTGCGTGGCGAAGTTTGTCAGAGAAGGCGAAGCTGTTCTCGCCGCCGGGTATGATGGTTCTTGCCACTACTTCGACGTCGCATCTGGAGGGGTAAGTCCATTTTTTTTTTTTTTTTCTCTCCTCTTTTCCAAGTATTATTGTGCGCGTTCTGAACGTAGTGATCACACGCGGAGCTGTGCTTTTTTCTTTTTTTTTCTCTTTCTTTTTTTTTTTTTGTTTCAATCCGCTGCATTGTTTCAGATTCTTCCGTGAAATAACGCGTGGTGCTTTGGAAGCGCCTTTTTTTTTGAAGGAAAAAAAAAATGATTGCACCGGAAGCCGCTTGGTGATTGCTTGTGTCACTGTTTTCCTTCTTCTTGTCCTTTTCCGTTTTGGGCAATTGTTCTTTCCTTCTCTGGTTTCCTTTTCAGGAAAGTGCTTTCGCGCATTTTCGGTTATATACTTGCCAGTGTGCAACAGTAGGTGCATACACGTGTCATTTTATTTTTGCGACTTTCTGGTCTGCACTTGCCTCGATTTTGCCAGCTTATTCCGATAGGATATACTACTATTCCCCCCCCCAATCTCATACTGATAATTGCTGTTATCTATCTGCTTATTTGATTGACCTGTTTGAATATTTTTGACTGACCTGTCTAAAGATTATTACAAGACTTAGTATGATATATGAAACTCCGACGAAACAGTTTGTCACAGCCCCTCGTTTGTTGTCCTCTTCTCCCTCTCTGCCTACGGTTTACCGGGCAGTTCTATTTGACTATATATTTTTCGGGTCGAAAGATGTATGCCAGAAAAGATATAAGAACTAATCAAAATCCCAACCGCCTTCGATGCTCAGCACAGCTCAGCTCGTACGCTGCCGCAGCTACCTTTTTCGTTGTTGGTGAATTTGTTTTTTTGTGCACTGATTTTTATTATTTTTACATTTGTCCCTTACTCGCAGACAGCAATTTCGTTTTTTTAATTTTTTTCCCTTCGAAAAAATAATGGTTGATACGAAAAATAATTCAGAATAACATTGTCATTCACTCGTTTCATGCGAAAACTAAACTTTGCTCGTCAAAAAAAAAAAAAAAAAAAAAAAAAACCTTCGCTCGTCTTCTCATCAAGTACCTCTTACCCGCACCCCTTCCCCCCACCCCCCCACTACTGTAAATTACCCCTCCCTCCCACTCCCATCCTCTCTCCTTGTTTTTTTGCCCTTTTTCTCACTTAGCGTATCATGTGTACACGAGTCGTTCTTTATGTTCATTTGGGCCTTCTCGATTTGACCTCATGCCCTTCTTTTTGCCATAACTCCGATTTTCTTGTTCGACAATCTTTTTCTTCATCTTATTTTTTTTTGTCCTCGTCTTGGTGCATTCCCTTTCTAGAGCTTAGGTCTGTTTATCAGTGTGTGTACCATTAAGCTCTACGGGCTACTAGGTGCTTCCCGTTCCCCCCCCCCCCCCTCCCCCCCTCATCTATCACGAGTACACGCTTGTTGCTTACTGTTTGAAATATCTTTCCAAGTGCGTGTGAAGAGCAATCGGCCATTGCTCGTCTTTCTCCTTGTTCCTTTTCTGTGTTTTGTGCTTCAGGTTCTTCCTCATCTTACGCTCTGACTGTAACAATAACAGCAGTTCCTTCTACAGCCTTTATCTTCGTTTTCCTTCTCTCTCTCTCTCTCTCTCTTCTCTCCATCACTCCCTTTTTTGCTTTTTTTATTCTTTTTTTCTAATTCCGAGCACGTGTTGTCCGCGTCATTTTATCGAAAGGAAAGAAAGGAGAAAAAGTAAAGCGAAGTAGACGAAAAGAAAGAAAGGAGGAAAAGTAAAGCAAAGTAGAATGAAGAAAATTTCGCTGTGCCGCGGATTACTAAAAAAGCTGTGGTGTGGTAGCATTCCTTAAAGAAAAAAACAAAAAAAAACGCTCTGGCGCGTGGAAAGCAAGAGAAAAAGCACGTTGTTGATGTTCCAGAAAATTTCTCTCGAAAGAAAAAGCAAGAAAGAAAAGGAAAAGGTCATATAGTTCCTCTCAGTCAAAGAAGAAGAAGAAGAACGAACGAACGAAATAGAGAAAGAAACATAGTAAAAAGAGTCGAAGTACTGAGAGCTCTCCTGTGTTTTGTTTCGTTGTCTATCTGTCGAAGGAATAGAGAAAGAAACAAAGTGAAAAAGAAAGGAAATAAGGGCCAAGTATTGAGATCTCTTCTGTGTTTTATTTCTTTTTCGATCTGTCGATGCCTATAAGAAAGGAAAGACGATGACAAGGAAAGCATAACAGAAAGGAACAGAAGAAGAAGAAGAAGAAGAAGAGTAATGGCCACCACATGCTCGCTTTCTTCTTTCTATCGATCGATGCGTCGGTTTGGTCTTCCTGCCTCCCACTATTTTCCTTTTCAAAATTGTCAGGAAGCTCTTTCCCGCCTCCCCCCCCTCCCCCAGCTGCTGCTTTCTTCCTCCCTCCCTCCCTCCCTCGCTCCCTCGCTCCCTCGCTCTCTCCCTCCTTCGCTCCCTCCCTCGCTCCCTCCCTCGCTTCCGTCTTGTCTCTTTTGCGCTTGTCATTGTATCCCTGGTCCATCAATACCCCCCCCACTCGTCGGGGTCGCTTACACTCTTGTTGTCAATTTATTATCTTTCTTTTTTACGAAACATTCGTTCTTTGCCAAAAAAGGAAAGCTCCTACGTTGCCTCGGGTTATCGATCACCTGACACTCTCGTAGTTATTATCTTTCTTTTTTTGGAATAACTGATGCTTTACTATCTTCCTTTTTTTGGAATAACTGATGCTAAGTTCTTTGTCAAGGACTCAGTATTTTTTTTTTCGCTTTTTAGATGTTTTCGCCCAACGCGTTTTCCTTGTCCCCGATGGGAAGATACACCGTATTGGGTCTCATTCCACTGATGAAAGGAAGATACACCGTCATTTCTCTTTTTTTGCCTTCTGTGCAGAATCGATTTTGTTATTTTTTTTGCCTTCTGTGCGGAGTCGATATTTTTTTTTTTTGGCCTTCTGTGCAGAGTCGATATATATATTTTTTGCCTTCTGTGTAGTAGTGGAGCGAGGCCTATTATTCGTATGAATACTTCAATAGCAGAATCGATATTATAATAAGTTATTACGGACGTCTTACTCAGCTACCTTCTTTCCCCGAATACAACGTACGGTCATTATAGCTGCTGTATCTAGACTGAAAGATGCCTGAAATTCAGCTATAATGACTGTACGTTGTATTCGGGGGAACGAAGGTAGGTTTGACCTCTCTAGCGTTTGCTCCTCAAGGCGTTTCTCCCTTACACCCTTCAGCCTACTCGTATTTTTTCACCCCCAGAGAAAACCTCACCTCAGCCTGCTAACGGGGGGATGATATGAGCATATGTCCTCTCCCCTAGTAGGTCTGTCGTTGAGTGCCCTAATCTATTGGTATGGGGCTGAAATATGTTATAATGTATTACAATATTCCTTGTCCTTCCCCCCCCCCCCCCCCCCATTCACGCGATTATCTAGCGCTCCTAAATGTCCGTTCTCATCTTTTTTTTTCCTTTTTTTTTTAAACGAAGTCGTCTTTTTTTTGTTTTTGTATTCGTGACTGATATTATTGATATTGATATTTACAGCTAATCTCGGTACGTTGTGATAAGAGGCAGTGTCAGCGCAAATATGTGGAAAAAAAAGTAGAAAGAAAGTAAAAAGAATGTAAAAAAAAAAAGTAAAAAAAAGTAAAAGGAAAGTAAAAAGAAAGTAAAGAGAAAAGAAGTTAAAAGAAAGTGAAGAAATCTCGAAATGTCAAACTCCGAACAATACAACATGAAGAACCGATTATCGTGCCCTAGCGAGCTATGACACCCGTCTCCCTCCCACCGCCTTGTCGTCGTTGAACTGACAGGTCATTGCACCTGGACGTTCAGTGCGTGTGTGGTCTGCACCTGGCATTTCTCCTCCCCTTGTCATCGTTTCTGGGCCCTCCAATCCCGAACCCCCTTCGGCGGTTCCAGTTCTGTTCCTTTTGTTTCTCTCTGTACCATTCTCTCTCTCTCTCTCTCTCTCTCTCTCTCTCTCTCTCTTTTTCTCTCTTTTCTCGGTTCCAGTTCTGTCCCTTTTGTTTCTTTCTGTACACATTCTCTCTCCCTCTCTTTTCTCTCTCTTTTCTCTCTCTTTTCTCTCTCTTTTCTCTCTTGGGAGGGGAGCGCGAGGAGGAGGCGGGGAGGAGGAGGGGCGGAGACGGGGGCTCTTGTGTTGCCTGTCGCCTTGCCTCGATGCTTGTGGGTGCTTGTGTGTACGTATCATATAGATAGATGTCTTTCTTTCTCTTTTGTCTTACGTACACGTAGGTATGGATATAGATACATATCTTATATCTAGGCTTTCTTCTGCCTATCATAAACCGCTCTTTTTGCCTTTTGTCTATGAACTTGGTGTATTAGCGCGAAACGTCCGTGTGGGATGCTGCTGTTCTTTTCCTATTCGAGGGTGATTAGTTTTCCTGTCTTGGTCTACAAATAGTCAAGATTGCAAAAGCTGGGAACATCTCTCTCTTTTCCTTGCTTTTTTTTTTTGTTCCTTTTCGGTAGGCTCCGCTTAACCCCCTCCCCCCCCCCCTCCCTCCTTTAAACCTTGGTATATTATCAGATACCCTATTGCTGTTTCGCATTCATTTTCCTGGCTTTGTATTCCTTTTTTTACCTTTTTTTTTTTTGAGTAATCGTATAAATCTTCTTTTCTTTTCCTTTTTTGAGCTTTTCCTTTTTTGAGTAATCGTCAATCTTACGCTGGAAAAAATAAAAATAAAAAATCTTACGCTGGACCCGGTTTCCAGCACGTGACACTGACCACGAATAGATCGAGTCATCGAACTTTTCAAAAAGAAAAGAAAAGAAAAAACATCTGACGTATGCCCTCTCAAAATGAATCCCGTCTTCCCCTACCGCCATGTAGAGTTCCCTCGATGGGTCGTTGTCGTTCTTTGTTTTATTTTTTTATTTTTTTTGCCTCTTTGTCCGATGGGTCTTTTCCTTCTCCCCTTGGCGGCGATACCCTTTTCTTTTTTTTTATATCTTTTGCTATTTCGCGCCTTTATTACTATATACCTCTTTTTTTTTTCTTTTGTTATTTCACGCCTTTATTACTATATACCTCTCATGACTCTTTGACCTATTTGTGACTGTAACCTGGATGTGTACCTTTTCTCTTTCTTTCTTTTTTTCTTTTCCCCTTTTTTTTGTCGTTTCTTCTTCCTCTCTGTCGCGTGTTCGATTCTTGGGATCGTCTCGTGCACGTAGGATTCGATTCTTACCTGTGTAGCAACCATCAGTAAGGTCGTCGTACATTGATTGGTGGCTGCGTCGACGCCCTGTGTGGTCCGGTGTTGTGTGAGCGTGAGATTGTGTACCCAGTGTGAGATTGCGACTGGGTGCACGGGGACGTGGAGAAATCCGTGCTGGGGTGGGGGTTAAGTACTCATCTTGGGGCTTAACTTTCACCCCACCCCAGTCAGCTTTTAGCTGTTTGGTTGAGCGTCCTACTTCTATTTGGAAGCTCGTGCGTGTTCGATTCTTGGGATCGGCTCGTGCACTTAGGATTCGATTCGATTCGATTCGATTCTTCGTCTCCTCCCTTTTTTCCCTCTCTCTCTTTGCTTTCTTTCCAGTGATTCGATTGGATTTGATTCTTCGTCTCCTCCTTTGTTTCCCTCTCTCTCTTTGCTTTCTTTCCAGTGAAACGCATTGATGGATGACGGAAGGATTATGCGCAGTGATGTGTTTCTGCGTGGATTTGACTCCAATGTATATATATATATATTGTGACGATATATATATATATATATATATATGTGCATGGAGTACTAGTGATCACTGAGTGTTCTTTCTTGGTGACGAGACGACATCGAATGGTATCAACTCAAGCTTGTATTGTACATTCGGGTACTGATCGAAAAAATAGAGCTCGAAAAAATAGAGGCCTTAAAAAAAAATAAAAAAATAAATAGAGGTCGCAGATGGACGTACGGGGAATAGTGAAAACAGAGTGAGGATGAACTGCTTCTCGGTCAGTCGAGTTTGAGATGGATGTGCATGGAATAGTAGAAACAGTGCCCCGATAGGCGGCTTCTCGCACGCGCAATAGAGCATATAGATGAGCATATTACATCCGCATGGAGTAGTTCTCAGTTGAAACGAGCCCATTCCCCGACGCGTTTGGGCCAGGCTGCGCTCCTCCTGGCACACCCTTTTTTTTTTTTTTTTTTTTTTTTTTTTTTTTTTTTTAGCTTCGTTTCATACATGCGTGCACACTGCTCATACTCTCAGAGGACTTGAGATGGATGAATGGGGAAAATTCAAAAATGGGGGAAAAAAAAAAAGGAGATTGATTGATGGACGAAGAGAAGTGTTTGGCCGCTGGGCGCCGCCTTTTGTGATGGCGGCAGTCTATTTTCGCATATTGGATGAAGAGGGTTTAGGGTTTTGAAAAAAGAAAGAAAAAAGAAAGAGAAAAGAACGAAAAAGAATGAAAACAAAATGAAAAAAGAATGAAAATGAGCAAGAATGTCGAGTAAGAAAGTGTAGTATATTAGTGAATAGCCCTGGAAAACATATACTAAATTATTTGTAATTAATAGCCATCGAAAAAATCAATCAACGGATGCTTTTTTTTTTATTATTTTAATTAATCAACGGAAGTTTTTTGACATTTGTGATAGCAAGAAGTTCAACGGTGATCTTTCCTGGAAGAAACGAAGATCATCTTTCAACGGCCTTTGGAGTGAATACTCTTGTTGTAGTCCTTTTGGTTTAACCCAACCCTCGTCACCCTTAACTTCATTGTTAAGCTTTTTCGTCTATCGACTTTTTTTTTCTTTTTTCTTTTTC